CGGGCTGCCCGTAGAGTATGTGACATTCGACCAAAATGCCGTCAATAGGCATTTCGAATTCGAATTTTAATATAGCATCAGAGTGAGAAAATTGGCGGTTTTTGCGGATTAGTGGTCTTAATTTGACAATTGAATGAATCAGGAATGGTTAATTTGGCATACTACTTTTTAAAAACATGATTTGAGCGTGAACGAAACGTAACAATTTGAGATTTCGAGACAACTGAAACTGCGAACAACACAACAACAACAGTCGTTGAAAGAGAGGAGACGAGAAATAAGAACGAGAAATACGAATATAATAGTGATTGACAACCATTACAACCTAGTTTTACAATCTAGCAACTTCCGAGAACCAGGAAGGGAGTTGGAACGACAGGACCAACCTTCCGGAAAGAAGAGGACTGTTCTTTGTCGTGATTAAAGAATTCGGAAGGGTCTCGGGAGAGAATTGTAACTCTTTATTTTAATAACTTTTAGCTTCATGAGGATGTCCTGAGTTTAATTTAATTAACATCGAACTCATTTTTAGATAATGAGAAGCTAGGAGTTGAGGGAAAGGGTTGATCCATCTCCGATGCGAATGACGATTTTTATCTACTGAACAAAAACAGTAGTAGTAAAATAAATAAGTAGTTTAAATAAATAAATAAGCCCTGTTTTTAGGAGTGACCTCGTGGTCTGAAGATACTGAGACCCAGCCTTGAGCTCACTATTTTTGCATGTAATTGAGTTAATCTGAGCGTTCTGGTCGAAGCCGGAAACAATACCGTTTTTGTCGACCCGATGATGAAAAGGACCACACAATAAACTGGCTTAGAGAGAGACGGTTAAAAGCATGTAGAGCTAAGTTTAGACGCTAGCCAGTCCTTTTACAACCTGGCTTCATTTTTCGTCGATATGTACTTCCGAGCGAATGTCACATTTCACTTACTATTTAGGACAATAGCCTAATTGTTGTAATAAACTTAATAAATAGTTTCATGTGATAAGTAGGGGATTTTAGAGACAAGCCCGTCAAACAGCGATACTCCCCCTCTAACCGGACATCCCCGCCGAAACCTCCACCCGTGAAAAACCAGGTTGTAATCGCTTCCATTTTTTTTTGTTATTTGTTTTTTTATAAATCCATTTCTCTACAATCTATTTTCAATCTATTCTTTCTCTGGTTTTGCCTCTCTTGTACCCTGTTTAGTGAATGTCCGTGCCAAAGTACAGGCACAAATGGATACCCAACGGGAGCAAAAACTGGTAATAGGAACCTCAAAGACCAAGTACTGCACTCCCAAAGATGTCAGAGCCACGGTTCACTCGTACAGAGGTGCAAGGCTAGCCGACCTTGCCTCTACTGTCTCGCGCTACCCCTCGCAGAGACTGAACTGTGTTACTATAGTAGCCGGATTTAGTGATAACTCATCTACAGTTTCAGACTTTGCTATTGATTGGAGATTTTTAATAAATTTGATAATTTATAAGTTTAACCCAAATGTGCTAATTATCCTCAAAACCATCCTCTCTGCAAACAATAACTTCATAAACTGAAAATTTGATGCTCTAAATAATTCTTTGTTTTGCCCTATAAATACATTTTACCACTCAAGAATCCAAAATATTTCCCCCAATCTAAACGTTAATTTTTGTGCTAATATGATTTGTAAAGATTGTATTCATTTTTGTTTTTATGGTAAAAAAATCTTCAGTTCAATGCTCGCTCAGCTAACTTATATATATTCACCATAAATTTACCCTCCTCGCTGCCAAATAATGGACAATCAAACGCTCAGCCATATTTGCAATCGCAACCTCCGAAAATGAGGCATATGGTGTGTCATTTGCAAAGCTTACTTCCATGTCTCATGTAGCGGGCTACAGAGCAGCAAATTTTATTACGATGGGTTCTCCTGCATACAATGCACCCCCGAGAACATTGCAAAAGAGCCCAACTCCACCAATAGACCAACAAGCACGGCCTCCTTTGACCCCTGGAAACTTATCGACCAAGAACTTGAAATTAAAATAACCGACATATATAAAAATGTCGTTAACTGGAAACCGCGCTTCATAATTGTAAGCAAGAACAAGCCCGGTTTCCAATTCATAGAATTACTTAAGCAGCAGCTGTTGTCATTAGTAAAAAAAAAAACACCAAATTCTAACGTCACAGTGAACGCAGCAATGATTCTTCCGCATCTGCTGCTCCCCAAAACTATATCAAAAACAAACGGATGAAATTCTAAAACACTAAGCCGCCGCATAATTTTATGGAAGCAAGGTCTATAAGACGAACTTTTCACTGAAGCGAAAGCTCTCGAAATTAGACATCCCAAACAGAAGAAGTCCGATGTAAAAGAAGAAGTTAAGCAATTCGATTAACTAATGAGTACAGGCAAAATATCTGGCACGAAAATCAACCCTGAAAACGCACGGAAGCTACGGTCCCTCAGGTCTAGATGCGTGCAAATGGAGAAGGATATTAACTCACCTGAACCAGACATCCATTGAGCTTTGCAAAACAATTGTTAAACTATCCTATACAACAGCAACTAAAGTTCTCCCCTATGAAAACCTAACGGCGTGCAAATCGTTTCGCATGATAACTCTGGACAAAAATGCAGGGTTCCGGCCCATGGATATAGGCGAAAATCTGAGAAAAATAATTGGCAAAACAATCCCCCAATGTCTAAAATCAGATTTGAAAATCTCGGAAAAAATTGCCACCTCTGCTTAGGCCAGAAGTGTTGAATCGAATATGCTATCCACAGCTTGAGGAACGAGTTTGAGAAACCGGAAACTTATTCATACTACGCATTGATGCAGAAATGCCTTCAACTCGCTCAATAAATTTTGCTCTAAAAAATGTAGAAATCCTTTGTGCGGCACTACATCATGCGCTGGCCAACTCATATTAACATCTCTCAAATCTATATGTCAATAAAACGGTTTTGACATCTACCGAAGGCACAACGCAAGGTGATTCTCTCGCAATGGCTATCCACTGATTGAGCTCCTGCAAAAACCAAATGTACCACCCAAAAATGGTACGCAGATGATGGAAGCGCTGCAGGTGGTCTTACGAGTCTCCGCGCAATACTGGAAAACCTGGATGTGCACGGAAAGTCTTCGGATACAATGTGAAGCCTTCCAATTGTCAATTCTTAGTAAAAGAAAACACTCGTGACAGCGTCATAGAATTTTTGAAGGCACAAATAATGCAATGGTAGACGGTTTTAGAGTCCTTGAATCGGTTCTACGAAGACCATCAGTATGCGATATATACATGGAAAGAGAAATTGAAAAGACAACTACCCTAACTGAAAAGTTTTCCAAAATAGCTAAAACATCAGTACAAAACGAGTACACCTGCTACACAAAGCGAGTTCAAAAAAAAATTAAGCTTTCTAACCAGAACAACTCCGGAAGCATTTAAGAAAATGGATGAAAATAAGAAAAATGCAAGACATCAGCTACTTCTTAGTATTACTGGTAAAAACCATATGACCGATGAAGATCAAAACCTTTTTGCAATTCCATCAAGAATGTTAGGATTGGACCTCCTCAGTAACACGGACTTTTCCAGAACTTATGCAACTTATGAGTGGTCACAAGCCATTTGTGATCCTTTTGAAAACAGTGATCTAGCATTAGCTGGAACGGAACAAACTCTGTAAATAGAAACATCAAAACTGAGAGAGGGAACATCAGATTCAAAAAAGGCTTTAAGTATGGAAAATTGCTGATCTGAAAAAAAAACTGACAATAAATCTAGCGTCACAGAAAGGAGCATCGAATTGGCTAAGCGTGCTACTTAAAAAGATACAATTTTCACTCAACAAAATCGAAGTTTAAAGATGGCTTACATCTGAGATATGGATGGTAACCACGAAACACCCCGCGATTAATGCCCATGTGGACAACCGTTCAAACTGACCCATTCTCTAGACAGTCTCAAAGGTGGATACACTCACCTAAGACATTATGAAATTCGCGATACTTTTGCGACACTCCTGGACGAAGTATGTCATGATGTTGAAATAGAGTCGAAACTTCAATCGTTGGAAGGCGAAAGCTTTCACAACAAAACAACCACTACTGAAGATGACGCTCGACTTGACATCAAGGCAAGTGGACTCTGGGGAGGGCGATTCAGCCGAACCTTTTTCGATGTAAAAATTTTCAACCCCCATGCTAAATCCTGCCCTAAAACTATATCTGACGCCTACAAATATCATGAGAGTGTCGAAACATTAAAATGCCAACAAAGAATTCTGGATGTGGAACACAGCAGCTTTGTTTCACTAATTTTTGCGTGTACCGAAGGAGCAGCACCAGGCTCTAAAAAACATCCAGAAACTAGCAGAGAAACTAAGCGAAAAACGGAACGAATCATACTCGGACACAATAAACTTTATAAGAACAACACTTCTAAGGAGTGCAATCCTCTGCCTTAGGGGGTGCAAAAATCTTAAAAATACATCCAATATAGACAATTCTATCTGTGCTATAATCAAGGAGGGTAGATTTTAGTTGACAATTGTCTTGATGCATTAATATCGACTTGATTTATTTATAAAATTTTGCCGATGTATTTATATAGCGTTAGTACGGATCTATCCAACTTGTGCACGTACCGTCGCATGACGGAAGGGCCCATTTTAATTGACCTTTTCTTTAAAAAAAAAACTATTTAGGACAATTCATAAAAGGAATCTTATCAAAACTTTTCAATCGAATGACTGTAAAAGATGTGAATTACCCTCCCTAAAAGTCTCAATTTGTGACCTGAGTTACTTACCAGTTTTTTACGGGTCTGAAGACACCAGTTTTTTTGTACTATTTGAACAGTTTTTCTGTAGGAGAACACTTTTCCGAAAACTTTGTTATAAGCTGCCTCAAGTAGCCCAGTTAATTAGAAGAGACTTAACCCGCCGAGGGCTTTTTCTCAATTTGGTCTAACTGTGAACTTGATCAGTGTTTCAAGTGTTAATGCATATTTCAGAATGGATGCCTGTATGCAGCTAGCAATAGAAGGCGAAAAATTAATGGATGGTAGAAGATGGAGTGATGCGGCACGGTTTTACGAAGCTGCAATTGTACAAGGAACTGATGATGTGAACGTGCTAAATGTTATTTATCATAAGCTTTGGGTTATCTATCATAACATTGGAACATATGAAAAAGCTCTGAAGTATGCGCATTATCAGCTTGAGCTTGCCAGGTAAGTTATGATTTATTTACAGCTCAAGAAGTTTCGTTCATATAGGTCGATAGGTGGAGTTAAGTTCTTTGTAAACTGAATTTTGGTGTACTCAAAATGTTTCAACTTCAGGCATTTGAACGACTTCGAGAAGGAAGCGTTTTCCAGTGCCAGGATAGGCATATCTCTCTCGATGATGAATAGCTTCGAAGATGCTTGCTCGATGTTCCAAGAACTGCTCCGCAAAGCAGAAAAGAAGCAGCACGATGCTTTCATCGAAATTGCCCTCTATCACCTTGGACAGACTGAGTTTAAACGTGCCAAACATATGGAAGTGATGGAAGAGACAACAAAGGCGGAAGTAGACATACATCTTCATCAAGCTGTGTCTTATTTTCTGTATGTTTATAGCATTCAGTCTTCTTGTTACGAGTAGAATCAAACCTTCGATTAAAGATTCAAAAAAACCTACAAAAGACTTGATTTTTTTTCAGAAAAAAAGTTTGTCATAATCCAAATTCATTAGTTTCAGAATGATTCATACCCGTGAAGCGGGGCTGAATACCTATAGACTATACGCGATGTGTTTTCAGGAGGTACAAAGCGATCGTAGGAGTGGCAAAAGATGCGCCCTTGGTGGGAAAAGTCAGTGGAACTCTGTCACACGTCTACTTTAAGTTAGGCCACCTGGAGGAAGCACTCTCTTGCCAACTAGAAGTCAGTTATTCATTACACTTGCGATATCAAGTGTCTTATAATCGGCAGCTAATTTTTTTAAAATCTGTGAACATCTTTTTTAAAAACTTTTTCAAGTGTCAATGAAAAAAGTAGTCAAGAAATTTATGTCTTGTTGATTTTTTAAAATAGGAAATGGGCAAGTTGTTCATGCTCGATTTTGATTTTTTGCGGTGCGAAATTTGATTTCTCAAAGTTTAACTCAAAAGTATTTGCTAAAAGGAAGGCAAAGTACGCTCTCCAAAAAAGTGAGAATGGCGCCAAAACGTGAATGACTTCAAATAGATTTTGAAATTTGAATTGAGTGAAATATGATTTTAATTAATAAGTGTCAGTGAACCTAGTGAAGAGTTATTTTTTTTTCAGGAAAAAGTTTGTCATAATCCAAATTCTTTTGCTGAATGAAAAGCAAAATTTGCTCTCCAATTTTGAAAGCAGAATTGGCGCAAGAACGACTTCTAGTTTCGAAGAGGATTTGAACTTTTAGATTTCCTAGCGGAATGTAAAATATATATTTTGATCAAGTACTCTCTAATTGAGTTATATTAATCAAATGAGTGTCCATCTCAAATAGTTCTTTAAGGCCGTATTTTTCTTTTAATTTGAAGGTTGAATTTTTTTCCAAAAATTGAGTCGGTCGTTTTTTGTTTCATTGCGTTCTTTGACTTTTTTCTAAGTGTTTGTTAGAAATGTTAGGTTTATGAAAGAAGTAACAATAATAAAATTTTCTTCAAATTGAAAGAGGCATAATTTTTTTTCGATTTCGAATTCACTGAGAGTTCTTTTTTCTGTTGGCTTGTTGACGTTTTGTCGACTGAATTTTCTTTACTTGCTTTTGATTGTGTATTCAGCAGAAGTTAAAAGAGTACCTGCAATTGAGCTGAATTTCAGTAAAGTTTAAGGAAAATTTTTAGATCCAGGTTTTCGGCTCCAAGGGCGTCCTTCCTTATTTTGTCAAGCTAAATGCCATTTTTTCTGTGTAAAAGTTTCTGGCAAAGCTGTCATTTTTTCAACAAATTTAAAGCTATTTATCAATTTTTAGTTGTAGAATATAATCATTTCGATGGATTCAATTATCTCCATTATTTTTTTATCTTTAATATATATTTTTAATCTTTTTATAGCGTTTCAAAGAGGTATTTGATGCTACAGTTTCAAAAACCAATCTTTTTCCTAGCGTTTTAAGGCTTTCGTTTTGATGCTACTGTTTTCAAAGCTTCTCGTAATGTAAACCTGAGAATAATAAAAAATTGTGTTTGTTAAGCTTTGAAAGACCGACTTAAAAAGAAATAAAAAATCATTTCTTCAGAAATACAATTACAATTGTACAAAAAATAAAGTGTTGATAAAATCAGATTCAAGATATTCTGTGAAACTTTTAAGCTTTATCTGCAGTAAATAAACGACGTTCTATTGGTTGCCCACTCAATGTCTAACACTATGACAAATAAATAGGTAACCATGGAAAAACCGGGTGTTCTTATATGTGCTTGCATATTTCGCTAGTCTCTTTTCATTTTACCCCACGTTCTACGGCCTTCGAAATGTCAAGAGGGCTTTTTGACCTATTTGTTTTGAATTTTTTTCCTTTTCTCAAATATTAATTGCACAAATCTGAGATGGGCGTTTCAATCAAAAGAACAAATTATAGGGATCTCACCATCTTAATCGGCTATTCGCCAAAATTGGTAGAAAAAACTTACCGCCTCAAATATTCTCAGTTTTTGAGATTCTGGTTAATTTTTAAAACATTTCCCAATAACTACCCTGCCAAATCGGAGATTAAGGGTTTAACCAATATCAAAAAACTAGTTATGTAAATCTTTCATGCGCAAGTGGCTATGCCCTGCGTTTTGGAAAAAAAATACGGCCTTAGAAAGCATCCAATTTTTGAGTTTTTGCTCGTTTTTTGGAGACTTATTCTTGTTTTTTCTAAAACTCTGCTGTTTCTGAGGTTGATAGTTCATTGAAACTAATATGATCCTCAGATTTTTCCTGCGCAATCTTTTTTCCTTATTTACTTGCAGACAAGCTGATATGATTTTCAGAAAAATCAATTTTTTTGTTGTTGAAATTTTACCGTTTTTTTCATCACTTATCTCGAGCACTACTAGCTAACTATGATATCATTTTTTTTTCAAAAACTGCTACGCCAAATCTAAGATAAAGACTTCAATAGGAAGAACGAGTAGTTGTTTTCTCCTTTTAATAAGCGGCAAATCACTAGCAGAGAAATCACTAGGACTTTGCGTAAATTTTTTTGATTTTTTTTTGAAAATTACTCATTTTCGTCTCGCTACAAAATATTAAAACAGGTGATCCAGCATTAGCTGGGCTACTGGTTCACTTCCAAGTGACTGTGGTGCAGATGTGTGGACTTGAGACTCCTCATTAACTGGTCGGATTTTTGCTGCGCAGCATTGGCACTTTGATAGAAACTTCATCTGCTTCATTGGTGGCTAGTGTTAATGAAATTACGAGCGGCCGTAGAGTAGATGTGAGAAAGTGACACTCCTAATCTCACTATTTTTTTTCAAGGTTTTTAAAAAAAAATTTTTCCTTACTTTTGTTTTGCCTATTTAGAGCTCTGTTTGCATTTTCCTCGCTTGTGTTTGAGAAGGGCAGCTTTGCCTCTGTGTTCATACATAAAATACGATTTACGGGAAAATAAGCCATAAGAACACTTAATTTTTTTCAGAGGCCGAATTGATTTTTTTCAGGGAAAGTGTTTCCCAATCCAAATTCTTTTGTCAAAAGAAAGGCAAAATACGCTCTCCGAAATAAGCACAATTGACGCATAAAAAAAACGTTTCATTTTTATTACGAATCACTTTTCTAAACCGAACTTGCAATAAAATCAATTAGGATTGGCAAATAACTAACATCTGTTATTGGGTGGCTAGTCTATAAAAGTCAAGGAACCTAAGGAAGACTCTTATATAGGTGATGTTTTTTTTTGGTTTTTCAGGAAATTAAGTTGAAGTTTGTTCATGCTTGTATTTGGTATTTTTTTTAGCAATTTGAATTAGGACTTTTTAAGCTCAGTCAAATGCTTTCGTTCTTAAAAAAATTAACTCCACTATTGAACAGCAAAGGTCAAGAAAAACGTGATCAACGTCTAGTTTTGAAAGTCAGTTTTTAATTTTAGATCTACCAGCAGCATAAAAATTACGGATTGATCCAGTTTTCTCAACTTGGTAATTTTTTTTCAAAAACTTTCAATTATAACTTTTCTTGTCTTTCACAGAGCTGTAAGCTTATGTTTTTCACTAGAAATTTATATTGGCAATTTTTTGCGAAAGTTATTATTTTTCCCTGTTTCTTTGACCCTTTTTTATTTCATTTTAGATTTTTCTGTTCTTTCGCTTTTCTTTCTTTTAAAATCTTTGTACAGCTATTTTTCGCCGTTTTCTCGCTTTTGTTTTTAAAGTGTAGCTTATTTTTTGTGTAACAACACTCAATCAAAAGTATAATCAACAAAAAAAATGAAAAAAAAAATCGAAACTCAAGAGCTTTTGAAAATTTTCGAATTTATTAAGCTTGCGATTAGCAAGCGTTATCAAATCGGAAAATAGGCTTCTTTCGGATTAGCATTTTGATGAACAGAATCATTTGTATCTTGGTTTAAAATGAATTCAAATTCTATGCGTCTTCAGCACCCAACCTGGATAACTTGAAACTGGAAGTTTTCCGGCCTATTCTTTGTCCACTTATGTTTTGTCGGCTTAGTTGACATATCGTAGAATTGATTTTGTATACGCAATTTTCTTTTTAGTTTTAGGGTTTTGAATTACTCTTGCCATTTGTAATTTTACTTGTCTTGACTTCGTATATTCTTCTATTTTTTTTTCTTGAAAGTTTTATTCGACTTAAATGGATTTGGCTCATAAATTTTTGGATTAGGGACTTAATTTGGAGTCGTTTCAAGGTACGCCTAAATTTTATCCTTCGTAACGGATCGAACAAAACGTTTAAATTTTTAGAACAGAATTTATAGTTCAAAGTGACAACAATGATATTTTCGGTTCTTTAGGAAATTATGCAAGTTTTGTCGGTTCAGTTGCCACTTGTTATTTTTTTTTTGAATTTTCCTAGTCGCCGTCGATTGTGTTTCTGGACGTTGGTTTCCGCACATAGAACATTATTCAAGACTTTTTTTGATTTTCTGAGAAAAGTCTTGAATAATGTTTTCTGAAGGTTTTTTTTTTTCAAACTTTTTGAACCTAGTTCTTTTTCTGCCTGCTAGTTATAACTTTGAGTTTAATCAACCCACAGGACTATCTGGTGTAAAGGTAACACATCTGCTTGAGAAAGCCAAGGCTTGTTGTTCGAATCCGACTGGGGATTGTTTCTGCAAATTTAGAAAGGTTTAAAGGTTGTCAATAAAGCATAAGCGGATATTTTATCCGTCTTATAAATCGTTTATTGGTATATTTATGACTTTGCTACATGCGAATTAGATCACTTTGTGTTTTACATAGTGTGTGGACGAATGATTTTCAAAAACATGTATCAGTTTATAAGCGATTACTGCTCCATAGATCTTAAAAGGCAGTCGGAAAATTCAGGGCTTTGCACTGATACGAGCAGTCTTGTTCAACTTGCGGAGTCATTTGTAAAATTTTTGTAGAGGATACTTTGCTTGAGATATATTGTTTTTTTAAGAGCCGATGAACGTAGATCGGACTCTTATATAGGTCGCGATGATTTTTTCCGTTTTTTTGTTCAGGCTGAAAATACGTTGATGGTCAATCATGAAATGTTCTAGAATTTCAAAGAGATATAAGGCCATCTATTTTTTCTTCGAATTTTGAATTTTTTTCAAAATAAGTCCGTATTTGTTCTGTTTACTTTCGTTCATTGACTCTTTTCCAACTGTCCGTTGGCTATGTCTGCTGAGTATAGGCACAGAAGTCCGATAATTTATTTTTTTAACGTTCTGATCACTATGAAAATTTTTTGAAGAGCCATGAACGAATACTCTTATATAGGTCTGGGTTTTTTTTTCGTTAACGAGTAAGGGAAAAATAATTTGGCTTGGATATCTTTTCAAATTGATTTAGGTAGGCTTTTTGGTCTAATTGATACGTTAGTAGCTGCGAATTATGTAGCGTTGTATTGTACCTTTTAAATAGCTTTTTGGGTTTTTTTTAAATCTGCTGACATATTTCGACTTCTTTAACCTCCTTAGATGCATTTTTTAAATGAATATCATCTAAAAGCTAATGAGCTCAAGTTAAAATAAAATTTTTTCACCAATTTGCGAATTATTTCTCAATTGTTTTGCCAATTTGGGATAAGTAATGCTCGGGGTTTACTGACTTTCTGTTGACGCGTAGGCGTCGAATTATTCCTGCTCAAAATGCATTGTACTGTGTACGTTATTTTGTGTGTGAGGGTGGGAGGAGGATAGAAAAAATTCCTTTGATTATGTTTGTGAAAGGCAACTTTGCCTCTCTGTCAAGTTGTACGGCCGATGCTTTTTGACTTTTTTAATTCAATTTTTCTTAATTTTTTTTTATTTCAATAATTTACGTATCAACATTCTTTTTGCCTCACGTCATTGAAGACATTTCCGAATCTGAGTTATACTCTGTCACCTTAAAGTACGGCTTACGTTCTTTCCGGTTGGAGATTACTCATGCATTTTGGATCTTTTTGTATGCCTTCGCCGCATATAACCTAAAATACATGTTTACTGGTTGGAGGTTTGAATTTTTTTTGTAAGTTTGCTGTGGCAAGAGTCTCATGGACATGAATATTGTTTTGCCATATTTTTGTCTTTTGTGTTGAATGCTTTGTTGTTTTTCAGTGTCTTCAAACTAGCCTCGAGTTTGGAGATCAAGTCATTCAGCAGAGCTCCAAAAGCTTCTTGGGATTCATCTATTGCTCAATGAAGAATTACATGGAGGCTGCCGACTCGTTCCAAGAGGCGTTCTATTTAGCCGAACAGTTGAATGATACTGCAAAGAAAGCAAAGGCCTTGTACAGTCTGGCTAATGTGATGCATTTATTAGAAGATGACGAAGCGGCGATCGACTTAAGCCTGAAGTACCTGGATTTGGTCAGGTCTATAGGGGACGAGTGAGTGTTCACTTTCAATACTCCTGAGATATCATTTGTTTACTTTTTTCATCCGTCCTTCAAAACAGGAAGTGGTGTAGAAGTGTGTATTTTATTTTTTTAAAGAACGAGTACGTGTTTTCTTATTTGGAATTTTTAGCCGTTTGAAAGTGAAAAAGTAGGAGTAAATTGGCTTTGATTTGGTTTTAGCGTGGGAGAAAGTCACATGTACTGCTTCATGTGCCAACAGTATCGATTAATGGGGGAACTGCAGAAATCCCTTCATTACGCCCAGCTATACCAGAGTTTGACACAGAAGGTAAAGGATGAACAAAACAACCATTTTTAATGGATGCATTGATTAACTTAGCTGAAGAGAATAATTATGGTAGCATTTAAAGCTAAAAGCGGTTACTTATTCAAAACTAACAGCAACATTACCACCATGCATTCAAATTCGTTTTGCAACTTGATTCAGTTTTAAAAAAGAAATGCTACTAATATAGCTGTTTCCAATTTTCATGTTAGCTTGTAAATATAAAAAAGTAAATGCCTATTTTGCCAATTTTAAACTAAATCAGATAAATTTAGTCATGATATTTAGATAATACAGGAAGGGATAGAGGAAAGGCTTTTTGCATGCCTCTACATAAGGTCCACCCGAAACACATGTACATCAAAAGTATAATATAATCAATACTAAATGTCTCTAATAAATATATTTTGTATTTCTGAGATTTTCAACATCAGATGATTAACAACAGCAACTGAAAAAACATCATATTCAGATAATCTAAACAGTAATAAATTTCAAAGAAATATTTTTCTTTCCAAATTCTTACCATTGTTAAAGATCAAAACGTCAATTTTTCGAATGTTTTTGAGAATTATTGTTTGTCATTTAACCACATTTTGATGTCAAAATTGCATCCATTTATTCACTTGCGAGAGCAAGTGTACTTATAATCGGGAAATAAAGCAACTTATCTTACAAATCTAAGAAATTGACCTTGCATTATTGTGAAACGTCAATAACTTCCAGGCGCCGTCTCAATTGTTTCAGTCGTTGGAGTCCCGGTCGGACCTTTGTTTTTTTAATAAGCTTGGAAGTCGATATTTTTTGCAAATGCGAGTTGTGTCGGACTACCTTTTCTCTGCTGATTTTTTGTTGACTTCATTTCCAAAACATGGGAATTCTTTTCATTTAAGCAAAGTTTACTGTTTTTGAGTTGTTAAACGTTGGCTCTTATATAGGTCTTGTTATTTTTTGTTTCTTTTAGGAAGAAGTCTTAAAATGCTCTAATAACTACAGAAGTGTATTTACACTTAATAACGATTTTCTGAGTGCACTTAGCTATAGGTTTAATTCAACTTCATTTGCTATAATAAGTTAGGCAAAATGCGATCTCTAAATACGAAAGCGCAAGTTTTTTTTAGGTCAATTCATTTCTTTTGTTAATAAAAGAAAGGCAAACACCACAATCGAACAGCAAAAGTGTAAAAGTCATGAAAAATGTGATCGAATTCTAGTTCGAAAGTCGAATTTCATTTGCAGATTTGCCAGCGGACAAAAGTTTACCTATTGATCCAGTTTTTGAAATTGGATAATTTTTCTCAAAAAAGTGTCAATCATTAAATGTTCTCGAAATTCAAAGATCCCTAAAACCACCAATTTTTTTTCGAATGATTCAAATAACAAGTCAGCAGTTTTTTTTTCATACAGGGTTAATTTACCCAGCAATAAGAAACTCTTTACGCTTGCGATAAGCAAGGGTATTGCAATGGGGTACTTAACTGTTTTCCCGTGAATAACTTTGTTCACAGAATGGTCAAAACTAGAAATGGTACAATTAAGTTCAGATCATAATGTTCATCAATATTCTTAGCGTTCCCGGCACACTTAGCCTGGAGGTAATAAAAAAACGCCTGTGACGGCTTAATGGCCTCATATTGCGTCTTTTGACGAGTGAAAAAAGTCTGTGAGCGTGTCTGTGTTTTGTGGGTGAGGGGGACTTCATAACTTTTTAAAAGTCCTAAATTTTTTTTCTTTTTTTTTCCGGCTCAATAGGTTTCGCCTTTATTAAATCGGCTTACGGGTTTTATATTGTTTTGTTTGACAATTAGATAATTTTTTTGTGCGTGTTCTTAAGGAGGAGGGAGGTTTTTAAGTTTTGTGGAGGAGGGGGGTTTTTAAGTTTTTAGGACGAAGGAGACTTTTTATAATCTGAAGTCTTGTTGATTTTTTGTCGCATGTAAGGGTTTCTGCAGAGGTATTTTCGGCTGTGTAATCGATTGATAAGTTTTGTTTTGATGCTTATTACTCATTCTATTGTCTGTGCATTTTTTGTTACAAAACTAGCCTTATTCAATTTGATCAATCTAGTTTTACCGACACTTTCGACTTTTTTCCGACTTAGCGGCTTCCTTCATTTGTATCGCAAGTGGTGCGAACCTCAGCTTCGCCTCTGTGTAATAATTTAAAATGCTCTGAGGGCTCTTCTAGTTGTAGTACTACTCAACTAACTGGGCACCTAAATCGTGAAATTGAGCATTCTTCACGTTGAACTCATTTAATGAATTAGTGTTTTAAATTTTAATCGAAAATATAATTTTTAAAAATAATTTTGGTATTCCGTATGAAACACTGTCAAACTTGCGAAAAAAGTCTTTTAGTCGGGAACTAGCCTTTTTTCCAAAAACAATCTATTTGCAAGTCAGCTAGAAAAGAAACTTTTGCTTTGTTGAACCTAAATAACTTCCATGCTCACTCACTTCCACTTGGTCTAGAGGAAACGTGGTTGCCTTTGCACGGTAAGGTGTGTGGTTTGAGTCTCTGTCGTACCCTGTTTCTTTTTTTTAGCATGTAAGAAATTGAATTTTTTTACCGGGAATAAGGGAATTGTCGCATCAGAAAGTTTTTCTGCAAACAATGAAATGAAAGTTTTTCGGTATTTATTATATACTTAGTCCCGGCAGTTAATAGATGAAAAAATACCTCTAGCTCTACTATGTGTATAATAAGCATTCGTTTCAGACTCAATATCACTCATTCTATTAATGGAACTGTCCTCAATAAACACTTTAACCTAAGTCTTAAAAATTACAGAACAAAGTATTTCAAAACTGAAAGTTTACTCGTCATCTTCTCCCCTTGTTACCAATGGTTTAATTGATGACACCACAGCTTGTAACTCGAAGGAAAAAGACAAATGTGATATTTTGTTCGTTTTAGCTGCGGGATGTAATTGGTTACAAGCTAGCGGGCGAGCTCTGTGTCGAAATATCAGACGCGATTGCCTACGAGGCGAATTGCATTGAAAATATTCAGCAGCAAACAAACAACGACTTTGATCTAGATGACAGTGTGGATGAATTTGATACTAAAGGAACTACTATTAATGGTGTTGGTGGCGGTGGTGAAAGTGAGAACAAAGGAGGGGGATATTTCGACCACTGTTCGACCATGCTGGGAAATAAGACGCAACCAGTCTCTGCCTCAAACATATTCTCATCTGCTAACTTCACTGAACACTGTGAAGTTAATATCACAGATCTAGACGTGTAAGTTGAAAAAAATTTCAAAAAATCAAAAATAAAATTTATTCAGTTGGTGTTAGATTATTGTTCAGTCCTATGGTATATGCATAATAAATCTGTGTGGGAATGTGTGTGTCAAAGTAATTGCGAGGATATTGTATGGATTTGAAGTAAATTGTTTGAAAATGAAGTGTAAAAAGCATGCACTACTTGACAGTGGGTCAAATAATCTAGAAATTTAGACTTATCCCAAAATAGCAAATTTCATGCCCTAGTGACATAAATTTTCAATTTTTAGATCAATAAAATCTGAGGTTCCACACGCAACACGAGAGGAGAGAAATACAATTTCCAATGGAACACAATGCCACAGCCAATCACAGAACGGAGCGAAGAAACAAATATTGCCCAAATGCAGCTATTCCGATTCGCATATCACAGCCAATAGTCGCGAAGCTTATAATGGTATAAACGGGCACACACAGTACAAACAATCAGTTCAGCGAAACATTATGAAGGACAAAACAAACATCGAAGCAAAGCCTCAACAAAATGGCTTCCATCACTCTGAAGTTGATCCGAAATTTGAAATGAAGAATGAGGTTGACGTGCAGCCGAGAACACCAGTGAAAGAGGTCCAGGGGCCGTTGTTTTTCAGAAGCCCTCAGATTAAAGTTAGTCTAGAATCGAAAGTCAGAAAATGAAAATGAAATTGCACATGGGTGTAGGGCAGTTTTCATTGATTTATTTTGAACTGTTTTACAGTGCTGATTTAAATTAACCGGACAAAACACGTTAAACTCGAAATTTAAAACGCATTTTTCTCAAGTTGTGTTGAGTTTAGGTGAAAACTTATGGAGACAAAACTTGCTTAAAATTTTAACAGAAATAATACGGTGTAATTTGCGAAATTCGGTCCCGAAATTTTACCCCAAAAATGGGTCATTTTGGCTTTTCTTAGTTAATAAAAAATTACGCCGAAAATACCCGGTCGACACAGACATAATTATATCAAAGTGAGCCCCTTACGTAGCCCAACAAACTTTATGAAGGGAATTTTCTCCAAAAAAAATTGCAAATTGTTTAAAAATAGTTTTCAAATAAAAAGTTGGTATTTTATATAGTAAAAACGACCTTTTTTGTCTATCAAACAAAAATAAATTAACTTATACAAAATTTTGGAGATTATACCCTTCTTAAAGTTTGTTGGGCTACGAAAGGGGCTCACTTTGATATAATTATGTCTGTGATCGACCGGGTATTTTCGGCGTAATTTTTGATTAACTAAGAAAAGCCAAAATGACCCATTTTTGGGATAAAATTTCGGGCCCGAACTTCGTAAAACAAATTTCACTGTATTAACTCTGCTAAAATTTTAAGCAAGTTTTGTCTTCTTAAGTTTTCACCTAAACTCAACCCAATTTGAGAAAAACGGGTCTTAGATTTCAAGTTTAACGGGTTTTGTCCGGTTAATTTAAATCAGCATTGTAATAATAGATTTGTTTCAATTTGGTACATGGACAAATTCATAACCGTAAATGATTATTACACATGCGAAGGGAAGTGTATTATTACGAAGATTATAATACACTTCGCAAATAAAAGTGCTCATTTGGTGGCACTTCGGTATATTTCAATTTATTCATATTTAAGCTTATTTAAGCATAGGAAATTTAATAGCATATGTTGCTTCTTTATTTTCGGCTAGTGTTAGGTCCTGTTTACACAAGCAATGCTTGTGTTATAGTATGAACTATCTTTTTTCCCCAACCTAAGTCGCAAATATTGTTGTGACGCAAATATTGTTGCGATAAAATGTGTTCATTTTGAAACGGTTCGTTTTGATCCAGATATTAAGTACAGGCAATGCTATGGATTTTAACACAGACTATTATATTACAAATAGCACTTTAGCTTGAAGATATCATGGTTCTGTAGCGTAGAGGTAGGGAAGGAGACCAGCAGCAAAATAAGAGGGTTCGAACCTGGGCAGGGTCGGATTTTTGAATGAACTTTTTCGTATACTAGTTAAAATGCGTCCGCTTTATAAATTGAGGTATGTTGGTGGGCAAATTTCTTTTCAAATTGACTGTTACTGCTAATGCGTCATAGTTGGCTTGCGTCACTTAGCAATTATGTAGACTCCTGATTGGCGTGCGTCACTTAAGAAATTTTGTAGACTCAAAGTTTTACTCATTCAGTTTTTTCCAGTAGCCGTTTCGATATTGTTTTTGCTTGGGTATGCGAAGCGCAACTTAGCCTCTGTGTAATGTTGTTATTACGCGTATTAATTTTAGTTAATTAATAAGGTTAAAGCTAAGTGGGTTTCAATCCAAAAGAAAATAGCTAAACCAAAAAAAATGCATTTTCGAATTACGAAATTATACCACTATCAAAGAATATGTTCCCCAATGTCCTTCTCTTGAATGAAGTTATCTCAAAATTTGTGCATGAAACTTTGATCATTACTTTGAGTGAGATTGCAGATGTCTTTTCAAATTTTTTTGTCCAGTTTTACTGACTGGAGTGGAATTATTTTTTCTGCCTTGACTGGATCTCATTTCTTTGGATGATTTTGTTTCGTGTATTGCATCTAAAAATATATTGTTTCTTTTGTATCAAATACCGTCTTGAAAGTTTTTAATTTTTCATGTCTTTGCATAATTCTCCTTGTCAATATTTTGCTTAAAAGTTTCAAGAAAATTCGTAGACATGCAATACTTTTATTGTACAAATGTTATATTTATCTGCAATTTCCTTTAGGGACGGATTTTTTTTTTCATTGAGAAAATGAATCTGTTGATTTTTTTTGAGACCATTTGACTTTCTTTACATTCGTTTTGCATGTAGAACTTTGAAGTAGAACACCGTATTGAAGAGTTGGTTGATTATAAGTCTGTATAGTTTCAGAAGTTTTTGAGAGCGCTTTGAACTGATATGTTTGAAGTTAGTTTGGTTATTACGAAATTGATATGATTTTTGAATGTTAACTTTTCATCCTAATATATACCCAGATACTTGATAGATTGACTTTTTCCAATTCAATGATTCCCAAATTGATTTTATTTGACGTTGATTTGGATGCAAAGCTCATCAATTTCCTTTTATCTCCGTTAATTACTTTGAGCTCATCCACGGAGTTGTTCTTAAGATCGGAGAGATTTTTTTTTAGTTTATCGTATATTTTGGTGTCATCGGAAAAAATTGCTATATGAGCAGTTTCCGAATTTTAGGAAGATCATTTATATAAAGAAAGAAAACTTCGTCCCATAATGGAGACCTGTGGCACTCCCGTGTCCATATTCTCGAAGTTGCTTTTCCCATTTTTGGTAAACACTGCTTGACTCCTATTTGAAAGATAAGACACTAACATATTGTAGATAGCTCCCCAAAGGCCATTTCTTTCAGATTTTTGCAATAGGATTTGGTGATCAACAGTGTCAAATGCTTTTGATAGGTCAACTAAAGTACAACTTAGGTTTTTTGCTAGCGAAAGAAAGAATGGATTTGTTTCTCCAAGTCATTACAATTAACAAAAAGCTGCCTTTTTTAACTGACTATTGAAGTAAGTTGTCTTCTGTGATTCGTGTGATTTTTATGCTCAAGTTCATATTTTGGCAGTTTGACTTCTGATTTCTTCTGAAACTTACTTCGATTTCTTTTGTTAGAAGTAAAGCAAAGTACGCGTTCCAATAGCAATAGTGGAAATGGAGAGAAAAGTGGAGGATAAAACTTAGATTTTTCAATGAAATTCGAGTAGCATAATTGTTTGCCAGATGAACTAAGTGCATTAATTTATTCAGGCCGTGTGTTGCTTCGGGAAAGCAGTGATATTTATTCGCGCTTTTTCAGTTTTCGGTTGTTGGATATTATATATTTGAAAATAAAAGCATCTTACAATCAGCAGATGAAGCTTTCGTTTGTGTATGCGAAATGAAATTTTATTACGTCGAAACTATATTACATGGAAAGAGCGTTTTCATACGAACAAAGACTTTTAACGCGAGCTTACTTTTCTTCAACCCAAATCACACATTTCAGCGCTCCATTTTTGTGCTCATTTTAAAAAGTGTGCAGTTCTATTGCTATATGGTAATTTAATAGCATGCGTTTTATCCGCTTTAGTAAAAATCAATTATTGCTAAATGGTATTAACTTATCAGTGTCCGTTAAACATTTAAGAAAATAAGGCGCAGTTGAGAAAACATTTGACGCTTGTTATAGAGATGCTTTATAGAGGAGTTTTTTATCTTGCAGGAAGCTAATACTTTTGCAAAGATCATTTCCGGTTTGTATTTCTTGAATCTCCGTTTCAAAACTGACTGCCATATATATGCTTTTGTGCAAAATTTGCACAGAAGCATATAAATGGCCTTTTGTTGTGTATATGCGAAGTTGTGAATTGCAGTTTCTTGTCTGTGAATTGCAGTTTCTTGGATTTGTGCAACTTCGCATTGTGCATATGCGAAGTTGTGAATTGCAGTTTCTTGTCTGTTTACAATGGGTACAATGGATTACGTTGTATTCTGTGCGTAATAAGGTTTAGAAACCGCCTGATGGCTTAAGGGCAAGGCAACAAAATCGCTAAATGCCTTTTCCGCGAAGTACTAAATTTGAATTTATTTTTGCATGGCTTAGCTTTAATTTAAGCTTCAGCGACGATATTGATCACTGTTCCAAAAGGAGAATGATGTATTGAAAATTTCTTAGTCGAAATTGTGTCTTGGTTTGATGATCGAAAGTGAATTAAGTTCACATCCGATAATTGAATCTCCATTTTTGCTAGCCACCCACTAATTCTCTACATGGTCCTATCAGCGGTTGCAGGATTTTTGTCTGCCGCGATCCAGTATGAAATCATTGTTCAAAATGAAATCATTATATATTTTCAGAGGGCCTCGAGAGCTGGATCCGAGTTTGAATTCGATCCGTTCGTGCTTGCCGCGAGAAGAAAGGCGGGTGGGTCGAAGAATGGATCTAAACAGCCCCCTTTCAGAGCTGAAGAGTGCGAGTCTCTCTACGACTTGATCACCAAAGCACAAAGTGTGGGAAGAATAGACGAGCAGAGAGTGTCATTGGACAGATTGAATAGTAAAGCCAGTGTGACCTCTGAAGTAGGAGCGGAGACGAAATCTCACATTCAGCTAAGAGCTACCAGTTAGTATTTTGTCATCAATACTTAGGGGCTTAATCTCAAGGCAGAAGGGCCGATTAGGAGAAGTTCCAACCGGTCAAAAACATCTCAATTGTCTAAACCTAAATTGATTGAATTGTCACTTTTTCTTTCATTTTCATGCTGAAATCTGATGGACTGATATAACTTCTGTCATGCGGCCCTTCTGTCCATGGTTTCTCCCAAAAATTTACTAGGAAAGTTAATATAGAATTGGATAATTTGGCTTGGCAGTCAGATGAGATAGCAGATGAGGATATTATTTGTGGAAGGTATTTCAGTGCTTAAGGTGACAGTTTTGATTTGTTTTCCAACAGAATCATATGATTTGACGCCGTCGACTAGCAAAACGGCTGCATCTAAAAAAGAACCAAGTGCTTTGTCATCACCAGTACCATGCAATAGTTCGTCTCTGATGATGAGTCCAGAACAACTCATTGACCAGATTGCCAAACACCAGAGCTACCGCATGAACGATCAACGCAGCGAGGTCAACCTCCTCCCGGGTCTCACTCCGTCCCCCAGAAATCAACAGGTGTTAGGTGGGTGCTAGAGTTCCAAATTTAAAACCTATTCAGTCTCAAGGCAAACAGTGAACTCACTAATAGTTGTAAAAGCTTTGAACGGAAAACAACTTCTGTATCCGGGAGTGAAACGACATTAATTCCCGTTTTACTCACAAATGATCTTAAGTTAATTGACAAATGTTGGTCGGTTCTTCTTCCCTACCCTCATTAAGTTACATCAATTTAAATCTACAGTCAGCGGTTTTTATAAGGATTTACAAGGATATCAAATATGTTTGAATTCGGAGTCAGTCAGCATTGGCGAATTCCATTACAATTGGAAAACTTGAACTAAAACATTTTTTAATTTTTCGCAAGATGGTGAAAAAAAGTATCAAGATAATTTTTTCAGATTTCACACGAGGTCAGCAGCTGTCTAGTTTTTTGGATATTCTGGAGAGATGTCAGGACAATCGGTTCGATGATCAACGTACAGTTCTGCCACCTCTGCCGGAGTCGGAGACACTGCCCGAAAACGAGTTCCTCAACACTATCCAACGAATACAGATCTCAGGTTAGTGAACTATTTCCTTTACACATGCAGACCGTAGTGTCATAGTACGTTATCCAATTTGGTTTTTTTTCTAAAAAAAGTCGCAAATACAGGTGCTTTTCTGATTAATTTTTGCTTCGGTTTTTTGTTTTTTTTTTATTATCTTTTGAGACTCTTGTGAAATATTTTGCATTTTCCGCAGAATTTAATTTTCTCGAACTATTTAACTGATTTTCAAAATTGTGGTACCAATGGAAGGGAAAGCTACTCACCTTTTTTCCTGAATATTCAGCTAGCCTCTTTATACTTCACCGCACGTTCTATGACCGGTTCTACGACCGAAAGTGCATGTTCTGAAGATCTCCCCTGTATAAGCTGCTACGCCCTTTTGGTGGAAAAAGAGTTTTGGCCTTAAAAGGTCTATTTTTTCAACTTGAGACAGTTTTTTGGAGAACCCTTTTGTCGAAACCAACTACCCTGCCAAATCTGAGATTAAAGATTCAATCGAAAGAAGAGAATTTGTGAATGTCACTGTACAACTGGTGGCGCCCTAATTTTTTTTATGAAAAACTTTATCGCCCATAAAGCACAATTTGCAAGGGTCGATGTGCATAGTTCAGACTCTCAACTCTTAAAATTTGTTCATGCTCAAATTTTTGCGTTTTCATGCTTTTTTTGCGGTTTTAGTTGTGAGTTTTTAGATTAAGTTCATCATTTTTTTTGTTGTTAAAACGAAGGCAAAATTCACTATTGAATAGCCAAACAATTTGTAAAGGTCACTACAACGTTATCGAAGATCTGTAGATTTGGAAATTTCATAGTATCGCTTCTCTGCTTTTTGTTTGGCTAGTGTTTGTGATTTTCTAAGTCTCCGTGGCTGAGTGGTTAGTGCGTGAGACTGATACTCTTCGGTCGCAGATCGATTCCGAGAAGTAGCCTTTTTTTTTTTTTACTTTTTTGTTCTTTTGAAAGAGCTGCTTTTTCGTGTTCTCGCTATTGTTTGCGAAGCTCAGCATCGCCTATGTGTTCAAAAGTAGGCTTTTTCTATTTTTTTTATTGCTTTTGACAGAGCTGATTTTTCGTGTTCTCGCTTGTGTTTGCGAAGCTCAGCTTCACCTCTGTGTTCAGATAGGGTTAATTTAATCAAAAAAGTGTCAAATATCAATTTCTCTGAAATTTCAAAGAGCTTTTACGACATTTTTCTTGCATTTTTTATATGTTAACTTGCGTTCATTGGCTCTTTTTTTGCTGTCTGTTGGCTGTGTTTTAAATTTTGCCTGTTTTTGGAATTGTTTTTAAAATTTTTCTCAAAAATTACCTTACTAAATCTGAGATGAAAAGTTTAATCAGAAAAACGGTGTTGGTATTTTCTCAATTTATAAAGAATACGCTAATGTTTTGCAGAAAGTTTGTTTTGGTCTTAGAAAGTTTTTTGTGTTTTTGAACCTTAGAGTTTTTCGGAGTTTTTTTTCAAAATCTTTTCCGCCAAATTCGAGATTAAGGGTTCAATCGAACGAACCGTTGCTAGGAAATTTCTCTGCCGAGCGGTTACGTTCTTGTGTTTAAGAAAAAGCAATGGAGAATTTTAGGAAAATTCCAGGTTTCGAAATGTTGACAGTTTTTGGTATTTTTATCTACTTTTCTCTAAAACGCAAGATCAAGGGTTCAATCGAAGAAACGTGAGCTAGTAGGTTTGTGTCAGTAGTAATTATGTTAGTTGATCTGATCTAAATGGTTAATTTTCATCAAAATGTCAGCCAGGAAAATTTTTGCTGTATGAGGAGCAATATGTACCAAACACGAAAACAAAAATCAGTTTATTGAAGTTGTTTCCTTTAAAGGTCTATGAAACATTTTAAAGGTGTTGGCTGTTCTAAAATTTCATCAATGTTAACATTGGTGTTTTAGGGAGAATGGACGAGCAAAGAACTTCTCTGCCGCCTAGGAGAAACCCGACTCTGAACGGTCATGCATCAACATCTCAAATACCTCCTCAGGTCATCCGCCATAATGGTCACTCCCATACAAACCGCGGAATAGGGATATCAACAAACGGGGTCCACGCGAGTTCATCGGAAACTAACGGCGGCAGAGTTGCGTCGAACGAAAACGCAACACAGTCAGCGACAAATCTGGGTCGCCCTAACCCAATACAGGGCACGAACGGGATCTCAAATGGATCATCTTCGACGTCAATTTTCCGAAGGTTTCGCCCTGGTTCACGAAAGGGAAACTCAAGTGCAAAATAATACATTGCAAGCAAAAAAGGGAATGAAAATGGAATCATGCCCGACGAATTCTTTTTACTGAATTCAAATGTGATAACACGTCTAAAAATGCCAATATGTTCTATCCCTTAGCTAGCAAATAACTAATTAGATATCAAATTTATATCAAGCTCTTCCTTTATGTTTTGTACGTGCATGTCTAAATACTCGCAGTAATTTGAACAGTACTTTGAATATTTTATTTAGCTTACAGTTTGTGCAATATTATTGGTGCTAAGCTGTCATTAGAACTATCACCTCCCTCATTCGCGTAGTTTCGTTTTGAAGTATCGCAAATCGATTGACTTACTTTTCAAGTATTACTTGCTTCAGACAATTTTGTTTCTCTCCGTTCACAAGTTTTGGCTCTGAAATTTCTCCCAATATTCATGATGATTCCTTGATCTTACCAAGGCAAGATAGGAGACAGGACGCCATGTCTTATTGAAGTCAAATTGAAGAAAAGTGATAAAATTGCCCAAAATTTAAATCGAAATTAAAGATAACCAGCATTTAAAAATGGTTTCATTAAAGCAAGCTTTTTTGTTGAGAACATCTTTCATCATTAAACAGTGACGAAGTACAACGCCGAAACTGAAAAAATGTTCAGCAGTGCCGAAAATTGAAAATATTAAAAAATTTGGACTAAACCGAGAAAAATTTGACTGTTTGCTGAGTTTGTTCAGAAAAATTTATGAAGCCTTGTCTAAAGAACTTTTGTCGTGGACCGGACATCTTGAATGTGAGCCGCTTAGCATGAAAGGGGCGAGTGTTTAACATTGCCGAAACTAAAAATGTGTTTAAGAGGCCAAGATAAGTTTTTTGAAAGATAACTTTGAGGATATTATTATATCACCTTACTTAACTGATTTAATAATCGAAACATAATTAAAATGTCGAAGATTTAATTTTCATCGATTCAAATTAACAAGGAATAATTAGGTCATTGGGGTGGGGGTATTTTCCGTGCCGAAATGAGTATATTTTAGTTCTGTTTTCGAATTTTTGCAATTTGATTGAATACTGTTTTAGGGCGAAACCGAGAAGAAAATTTGACAATTTGCTGAGGTATTTTATTCAAAAAGTTTATGAAGCCGCGGCGCTTGGGTACTTTTGTTTGTTTAACAAACGACAACAATTAAAATGACCATTTTTAAATTTTCAACTTCGTGGATTTGAATTGTTTTACTTGTCAGTGATTTGGGATGGTTAAGAACAGTATTCGAAGCAATTTTCGGCACTGTTCAACAGCATTTTGATTTTCGTCTTTGTACTTCGACACTGTTGTACCGCCCTGCATGAGGCTATTAGCGCAGTTTGATATGAGTTTGTTTTCTCACATTTTCTTTTAAACTCAAACTGATTGAAACTGATTCATCAAACAGTAGTTTTTGTTCCGACTTTCGTAACAAAAGTAACGGAATATTTGTGCTCGGGGTGGGTTTTTTTTCTTCAGAAAAATTTCGACTTATTAACTAGCCATTGAAATGGTTTTTTTATATTCAAAAGGTATTGTTGTCGTAGCTTAAATTTGAAAAGATATTTCACCTGTGATCATTTTTCGTAAAGTTATGGGGGTTAAAAATTTGCCAATTTGGTTCAATTAGCGCGCGATTTATTTCGCGCTATTAATCGTAAGTGGAGATCTAATCCGTCTTAGAAATTGTTCCGAATTGGGCGGTTTCCTTCCCACCCTCACATGCAAAATTTTACTAATGAAATTTTGTTCACGTTTTACAAAGGTTACGAAAATTGGCCTGCGAACTAAATAGGCCGTGACAAATATCTTTGGTCTTCATGTTTGACCTTGTAAAAGCCCTCGTTACACCTTAAAATTGATGCTTATGTGAGGCATGGGGAAAAGGAAAAAGAGCCCCAAATTGGTTGAACGAAGCTTATTTGTCATAATTGATTTTTTTTACTAGGAGCGAAATCTATCACTTTGAACTTTACATGGAGTGTGTGAGAATGATTTTCACGAAAAATTTCAAATTCAAAAAAAAATCATGTTATTACTGCTCATAGACCTTAAAAGGCAGTCGGAACATTCAGGGCTTCGCCCTGATACGAGAATTCAGGTTTTAATTGCGCATGCTAAGCGGCACGCATACAAGTCGATATGCCCCCACTTTTATTTGTTTAAGTAGCGACATCAATTAATATGGCAATTTGTGTCTTTTCAGCTTTCCTGAATTAAATTACTTGTCCTTGATTTGGTATGAGTAAAAACTGTATTCAAAAGCATTTTCAGCACTGTTGACAAACGGTTTATTTTCGGCACTGTTGTAATTAAGCAGTGTTGTACGTCGGCACTGTTGTACTGTCCACTTTCAGCTATTGTTTTTGCTTCTTGTTTTTGCTATTTAGATAATTTATGTCTTAATCAAGTATTCAGTGTGCATTAAAAATGTCAGTAATTCATAAAAAGATGACAAAAGCAAGGTTTTCTACCGTATAAGTGAATAAGTCAGCGCTTAAATGATAAGGAACAAATTGATTCATCGCCAAGTCATTGTTTTTAGAGTAAAAGAACGAAGTGGTTGTCACTTATTTAGCTCTGGATGATTTTTTTCAAAATGGGTTTCTGCGGTTTGACTTTTTTTAAGTTCACTACATTTCCTTTATTAAATGCAGGTAAACTCGACTATCTAACAGCGAAAGTAAACAGGTCACAAAAAACGTGACTGGCTTCTTATTTCAAAATTGGGCTTAAATTTTCTGAATTCCCAGCGGAATAAAAAAATTTCTGTTGGGCCAGTTTTCTCTAAATTGGATGACTTGACGAAAAAATGCCAAACTCTTATTCTCTAGTTCGCAGTTCGAAACCGAGACGTAGCCGAATTTCTACTAATTCGAGGCTTATTTCTTTTTATAGAGCTGCTTTTTGTCCTGTTTTGGTTACTTTTGCGAAGCGAAGAGTATCCTCTGGTTAAAAACACATATTTTTAAAAGCCCCTAAGAACATTTGCTATGAATACCGGCTCTTTTCCAGTCCCTTCATTCCCCCCCTCATAAAATTGCAAAAAAAAGCTGCTCAAAAATTGATCACACCGCATTTTGCATGTAAGAATTGTAAAATTGTGTTCACCTGTTCACTCAGACACGTTTCACTACAATTTATAACATTAAAAGTTGTTTTAAATAGACTTTCATATATTGAATTCTAGACAAAATCAAAAGGAGGAACGGGAAAAGAGCCCAAATTCCTTCAATAAGAACATTCGCAGTACATCTAAAACGAAACACGGTTGCCTTTTGAATTATCTTAAAAAAGGTTCAAGCAACAAATTCAAAACTCACAACTTAGTAACATAAGTTGTTAAGGCTGGCCACTTTTTTTGTCTGCTGTGCGATATGAAGTATGACGCTGTACAAAGCTCGAGATGGGCTTTTTACAGCATTGCTCGTTTGAGTCTTAAGATCCTCCGTTGTAACACCTATTGCTTCACATCCTTCGCTGCAACCATTTGTGCTCGTCGTTGATGAAGGTCATGCACAGAATTCATTTTTCGCATCGCAGCGTCCTTCTGAGTGAACATTATTTTGCTGCTCACCTGCTTTATATTTGCGATAAATTGGGCTTAAATAATTCAGAAGATATCATAATTTAAAAGAATATATTGATGAACGAGCTTTTTTTGAATCAAATCAGCAGCAGAATAGTGAGATACACACTTGTGGACAAAGTTAAAAACGGACGAAGGTGAAATCAGCTCCTAACACTAATATGCCTAGTTTCAAGGAGCGTTTTGGACAATATTTACTTGCATCGACAGCAATTTTTTGCATCGACAGCAAGTGATCTGAACTACCATTTCTGAAAGCCTGAATTTTTGATTTGAAACACGCACAAGTTTACCCCTGGTCTGAAAATGCCACTTTACATCATTTTTATTAGGTGTTCTTGGGGAGTAGAAAAAATTGGTCATGTGATGTGAAAACTTCCTCACCTCAGTTTTTTTTTTTTTCAATTTCACACTGTTGGAGAAATTTATTACAAATGGTGGCAAGTGGCATTTTCAGACCCGGAGTAAACTGGTAATTGCTTCAAATCAGTAATTTAGGCTCTCAGAGAGGGTGGTACAGATCATTTGCAGTTGCTCGATTCAAAAATGTTCTTAAAATTTTAGGTAAAGATCCAAAATTGTCCTTAAAATAAAGCTTTATTCGTGAGGAAAAAATTTGCGTTTGTTTATGTCCATGAATGTAGTCCATTATTTTTTGCACTTTTTTTGCCATACCCAACAAATTTCAGCTAGAACGACAACTCGGCATCTTCTTGTTATTGCTGGTTTCGAAACCATAAAGAAGAAAACAAAACTTGCATGCAAAACTTAATCTTATATTTCAAAATGAAACTCCGAATGCGCTATGGACGCAATGTTTAACTGAACGCAACGTTTTAGTTTTGTCGAATGCAACGTTTAAAAACTTCTTCGGGCTTAACGTTTAGACAAGGCCAAGAATGTTCTAGAACTTTCAAGTTTTCTTAACGAATATTCTAGAAGTATTTTCACAAAAATCCAATTCTTTTCACAAGATGAACTCAATTCTTTTCACAAGATGAAGTGCCTTTCCAGTTTTTCTGAGTTTTTGCCATTACAGATTGATTTCATTCTGAAACGAACCAACTAAAATCAGCAACCTGCTTGCTAGAAAAACTAGCTGTTTGCAAACCAATTTGCGCTATTAAATGTTTTGAAATATTTCAAAGTTTTATCGCTTGCATAGCTTGCTGAGAAAAACAAACTTTTCGTCAATCGATTTGCTCGCTTTGTTAAAAGTTGAGCTTATTCAATGTTTCATTGCCTCAATAGCTTGCTTAGAAAAACAAACTTCTCGCCTGTCGATTTTCTCTATGAAACAGCTTGACATATTTCAAGGTTTAATCGCATGAATAGCGTGCCCAGAAACTTTTGAAATATTTCAAGCTGTTTTATAGACCGTATCGTTTTGCGAAAAGCTTGAGTATTTTTCAGCAAAACTTCTTGCAAACTTTTTTCAGGCGAAATTTTTCATAAATGGATTTGCCCTTTAAAATTACTTGAAATATTCCAAAGTTTCAGGGCTTCAATTGCTTGCTTAGAAGAACTTAACCTTTCCGCAAATGTTGCAAAATTTTTCAGCTTGGGTAGCTTGCTAAAATATCGAACGAATTCAACTCGTCGGCATTGAGTCATAAAGGAATACTTGCGTGTCATGGATATACTTTTGAAGATTTTCCGGAAGAATTTGATATGCATCGGTTCACTGATAGAGCAAATTCATTACAAGCAGGGAAAATTTTTTCATTTTATGGGAGGCTTGTCATCAATTGTGAAAAGTTTTTACTACCAAAATTCGCATTTAAATAACTCGAGCTAGACAATTTTTACATGCTGTCTAATAATCCAAATGTTAGTCTGAAAATAGTTGATTATTCGCTGTTTAATATAACTAAAACTCTTCTATTAAAAAGCGAATAATCAACTATTTTCAGACTAACATTTGGATTATCAGACAGCATGTAAAAATAATGTCTAGCTCGAGTTATTTTTTTGCGAGTTTTGTTAGTAAAATTTTTTCACAAGCAAACAAATCGATGGCAAGCCTCCCATAAAATGAAAAAAATTATCCCTGAACCTTATCATCAATACTTGCAATGGAACCTGGAAAGGGAACCCGCAA